GTTTTTGCCTATATATACTTGTAAGACTTTCTGCTCGGGGCTCGACTCCTCTGCTCCTGCGTGAGTTACGAGTTGAGCCCCAGCGCGCTGGAATAAAGCCTCTTGCTGTTTGCATCAAGTGACGCCTCCTGCGGTTGATTGGGGTTGCCGTGGATCCGTGGGACAGAGTAAGGGCCTCCCTCTGGGGGTCTCACATTTGGGGGCTCGCCCGGGATTTGACGACCACCCCTCATCCGCGGAGTCGACCTTGGAGGTAAGAAGGGTTACCCCGAAGTTGTCTGTCTTTGTCTTATGTTTTTTGGTCTGGTCCTGTGTGCGCGCTTTCGGTTTTGCAGCCGTTCGGCGACTCGTGAGAGTGGCCGAACAGTGGTCGGTAGACGTGCCTGGAGGGCCACAGGTTGCAGCCCTGGGGGACGCCCCAAGGGTGGAGGAGAGCCAGGGACGGCTGCTAGTCTCCTACTGTAAGGGCGCTGATCGGGTTCAACTGTTGGATCAGAGATTGTCAAGATCGCGCCCGTCTGATTCCGTTAAGTGTTTGTGGCGGACAAGGTGGGGTAAGTGGGTCCTCGTGTCTGTAACATTTTTGTTATTTGTGTTTCTAACGACCTACGAACTGACGATGGGACAGACTGTGACAACCCCTCTTAGTCTGACCTTAGACCATTGGACTGAAGTTAAGGGAAGAGGTCGCGACCTATCAGTTGAGATCAGGAAAGGTCCATGGCGGACCTTCTGCTCCTCAGAATGGCCTACTTTTAATGTAGGGTGGCCAACAGAAGGAACCTTTGACCTATCTGTTATTTTTGCTGTTAAGGAGATTATTTTTCAGAAAGAACCTGGAGCCCATCCGGATCAGCAGCCCTACATCGTGGTCTGGCAGGACCTGGTGCAAAATCCCCCCCCCTGGGTTCGACCTTGGGTTGCAAAACCCAAGCCCCGGCCGGATGCTCGAGTTCTAGCCGTCCAATCTCCCAGTTCTGGGGGGGAAACCAGTCACTCGGACCCCCCCAAGAAGATTTATCCAGAAACCCAGGCTGACCTCCTTCTCCTTGACCCACCTCCCCCGTATCCTCCTGCCTCGGTTCCTGTAGGGGGTCGGGAAGAGCCAGAAGCACCGCCGGCCCCTGCAGTTGCCCCCTCTGCTCCCCCTAACGAGTCTCTGCTGGGGCCTGTGCAGGGCACCAGGAGCCGCCGCGGAATGACTCCCGACACCACCGTTGCCCTTCCCCTAAGGGCTTATGGGCCCCCGCCGGTGGCGACGGAGGGTGGACCAGCTCCTCTCCAGCCCCTCCAGTACTGGCCTTTTTCCTCCGCAGATTTGTATAACTGGAAGACTAATCTTCCTCCCTTTTCAGAGGACCCCCAGCGCTTAACCGGGCTGGTGGAGTCTTTAATGTTCTCTCATCAGCCCACATGGGATGATTGCCAGCAGCTACTACAGACTCTTTTCACTACTGAGGAGAGGGAGAGGATTCTATTGGAGGCAAGGAAGAATGTACCAGGAACAGATGGACGACCCACCCAGCTCCCCAACATCATTGAGACTGCCTTCCCCCTCTCCAGGCCTGACTGGGATTTCAACACGGCAGAAGGTAGGGAGCGACTGACCGTCTATCGCCAGACTCTAGTGGCCGGCCTCCGCGGGGCAGCAAGACGCCCCACTAATTTGGCTAAGGTAAGAGAGGTTATCCAGGGGACCACGGAACCCCCATCAGTATTTCTTGAGCGCTTAATGGAAGCTTTCAGGCGCTACACCCCGTTTGACCCTACCTCGGAGGGGCAAAGGGCTTCCGTGGCCATGGCTTTTATAGGGCAGTCAGCATTAGATATTAAGAGAAAATTGCAGAGAATAGAAGGGTTACAGGATTATACCCTACAGGATTTAGTCAAGGAGGCAGAGAAAGTGTATCATAAGAGGGAAACTGAGGAGGAAAAAGAGCAAAGAAAAGAAAAGGAAAGAGAAAACAAAAGGGATCGTAAGCAGGAGAAGAACCTGACACGGATTTTGGCCGCAGTAGTAGGTGAGAGAGGCCAGGAACAAACCCAGAGCAGGGCTAAAAGGTCAGGTAACCTGGGCAACCGCACCCCATTAGACAAAGATCAGTGTGCCTACTGCAAGGAAAAAGGTCACTGGGTGAGAGAGCGCCCTAAGAAGAAAAAGAACGGGTCCTCCAAGAAAGTGTTAGCCCTGGAGGAAGAAGAGGATTAGCGGGGACGGGGCTCGGAACCCCTCCCCGAGCCTAGGGTAACACTAGAGGTGGAGGGGAAGCCAGTTGAGTTCCTAGTAGACACTGGGGCTCAACACTCGGTCCTACTCGAACCGGCTGGACCCGTCTCCCACAAGAAATCGTGGGTCATCGGAGCCACAGGGCACCAGCAGTACTCATGGACTACCCGAAGAACAGTAGACTTAGGAACGGGATGGATAACCCACTCGTTTCTGGTCATCCCCGAGTGCCCTGCACCTCTACTTGGGAGAGATCTCCTAACCAAAATGGGAGCCCAGATTACCTTCACCCCTGATGGCCCGGAGGTGACCCAAAGCAAGAGAATGGCTACCGCCCTGACCATACTCCTAGATGATGAACATACACTTTTTGAGGAACAGGGAGCAGAGATAAGTCACATAAATGACTGGTTGAACAGGTATCCGGGGGCGTGGGCCGAGAGGGCTGGAACAGGACTAGCTGCAGAAAGGCCGCCCGTAGTCATAGAGCTTAAGGCCACTTCTACTCCTGTGGCTGTACGCCAATATCCCATGACTAAGGAGGCCCGGGAAGGAATTAGGCCCCATATCCAGCGCCTCCTTCAGCAGGGCATCCTAGTGAAGTGTCAGTCGCCATGGAACACTCCCCTGTTACCTGTTAAGAAGCCCGGCACAGGAGACTATCGCCTGGTACAGGACTTAAGGGAAGTGAACAAGCGGGTACAGGATATCCACCCCACTGTACCTAACCCTTACAACTTGTTGAGCTCTCTCCCCCCGGATCATATTTGGTATACTGTCTTGGATTTAAAGGACGCTTTCTTCTGCCTGCGACTGCACCCCTCCAGCCAGAACATTTTTGCATTCGAGTGGAGGGACCCTGACTCTGGGACTACAGGACAACTGACTTGGACCCGATTACCCCAGGGGTTCAAGAATTCCCCGACCCTCTTCGATGAAGCTCTTCACCAAGATTTAGCCCACTTCCACGCCAGCCATCCCCAGGTAACACTTCTGCAGTATGTAGATGACTTACTACTAGCCGGGGCCACAGGGGAAGAGTGCCAACGGGGCACGGGACTACTGCTAGAAGAACTCGCCCGCTTAGGATATCGGGCCTCCGCTAAGAAGGCCCAGATCTGCCAAAGAGAGGTAACGAACCTGGGGTACGCCCTCAAAGGGGGGCAGAGATGGCTAACGGAGGCCAGGAAACAAACTGTGACTCAGATACCCGTTCCTCGCTCACCCTGCCAGGTGCGAGAATTTTTAGGGACTGCGGGGTTTTGCCGCTTATGGATCCCCGGGTTCGCCGCTACCCTGGCTCCCCTCTATCCTCTGACTAGAGAGGGTGCCCCGTTTGAGTGGGGTAACGGCCAACAGCAGGCCTTTGATGACATCAAGAAGGCATTACTGTCAGCCCCGGCCCTGGCATTACCGGACGTAGCAAAGCCCTTCGTCCTATATGTGGACGAGAGAGGGGGAGTAGCCCGAGGGGTGCTGACCCAGCCTCTAGGGCCATGGAAGAGGCCGGTAGCCTACCTCTCCAAGAAGCTGGATCCTGTTGCTAGTGGTTGGCCTGCCTGTCTGAGGTCCGTGGCGGCAGTGGCAGTGTTGGTGAAAGATGCTGACAAATTAACTATGGGACAAAAGCTAACGGTCATTGCCCCCCACTCCTTGGAGAGCATCATCAGGCAGCCCCCTGATCGGTGGCTGTCCAACGCCCGCATGACACACTACCAGAGTCTCCTACTGAATGGAGACAGGATCCAGTTCGGGCCGCCTGCCATCCTCAATCCGGCTACCCTACTACCCGACACGTCCACCCAGGAGAGTGTGCTGCACACCTGTCAAGAGATACTGGCAGAGGAAACGGGGACCCGAAGGGACCTCCGAGACCAGCCCTTGCCAGACGCTCAGCTGACCTGGTTCACTGATGGAAGCAGCTACATAATAGAAGGTAAAAGGGTGGCCGGGGCGGCGGTGGTGGACGATGAGCAAATTATCTGGGCAAGCAGCCTACCCGAAGGGACGTCGGCTCAGAAGGCCGAGTTACTAGCTCTGACTCAGGCCCTACGATTGGCAGAAGGGAAGAAGATTAACATCTACACTGATAGCAGGTATGCCTTTGCTACTGCCCATGTCCACGGGGCTATCTACCGGCAGCGGGGGCTACTAACCTCGGCAGGGAAGGAAATCAAAAATAAAGAAGAAATTCTAAGCCTGTTAGAGGCCGTTCACCTTCCTAAGAAAGTGGCAATTATTCACTGTCCCGGACATCAGAAAGGAGGGTCCAGGGTTGCCGGAGGGAACCAAAGGGCTGACAGAGAAGCCAAGCGGGCGGCTCAGGGGCTCAACATCCTATCCTTGTCTGGGGAAAAACCGAGGTCTCACCCTGAGGATACGGTATACCCCTCTATCAGGAACTTTGATTATTCAGAACCAGACCTTGAGAGAATGGACAGATTAGGATCTCGCCTGGAGACTCCAGAGGGGATTCGGGAAACCTCAGAAGGAAAAAGAATCCTCCCTGAAAAGCAGGCTATCATTTTCCTCAGACACCTTCATAAGTTAACTCATCTGGGCCCAAAACATTTAAAAACTATTGTCCAGTCATCACCGTATTATATCATGAAACTAGGGGAGCTCGCAGATACAACTGTAAAAGAATGCAAGCCTTGCCAGATGGTGAATGCCCAGCCCAGCAAGCTTATCTCAGGGCAAACGGCTCCGAGGAGACCGCCCTGGGAGTTACTGGGAGGTAGACTTTACTGAGGTAAAGCCAGCCAGGTATGGATACAGATACTTATTGGTATTCATAGATGCATTTTCAGGATGGGTCGAAGCCTTCCCTACCAAGAAAGAGACTGCTCAGGTGGTGGCCAAGACAATACTAGAAGACATCTTCCCGAGATTCGGGGTGCCCAAGGTAATCGGGTCAGACAACGGCCCTGCGTTTGTTGCCCAGGTAAGTCAGGGACTGGCCAAAATCCTGGGGCTTGATTGGAAATTACATTGTGCTTATAGGCCCCAAAGCTCAGGGCAAGTAGAAAGAATGAATAGAACTTTAAAAGAGGTCATGACTAAATTATCCGTAGAGACTGGCATAACAGACTGGACAGTCCTCCTTCCCTTTGCTTTGTTTCTGGTCCGCAATACCCCTGGCTCCCTCAAGCTAACGCCTTTTGAAATTCTTTATGGGACTCACCCCCCACTCATTACCATACAGCACCTTCCTTCCCCAGAATCTTACTCCTCTCAATCTCTGTACACCAGATTAAAAGCCCTTGAGACTGTGCAGAGGGAAGTGTGGAATCGGTTGGCCGAGGCCTACAAGCCTGGAGACCTGCAAGTACCTCATCAGTTCCAGGTCGGAGACTCGGTGTACATTCGGCGCCACCGTGCGGCCAGCTTGGAACCGAGGTGGAAAGGACCATACATAGTGCTGCTCATGACTCCGACTGCAGTAAAGGTCGATGGCATCGCCGCCTGGATCCACGCTTCACATGTCAAGCCCGCGCCACCACCAGACCCAGCGTGGAAAGTGGAAAAAATGGACAACCCCCTCAAGCTCCGCATTCACCGTGTTCCTGCTCCTGTTGACGCACCTCCCACCGATAAGTAGTCCTAACCCTCATGCCCCCCAACGACTAACATGGCAGGTCCTCTCCCAGACTGGAGATGTAATATGGAGCACCACCAAGGAGAACCCCCTTTGGGCCTGGTGGCCATCCTTAACCCCAGACATTTGCGCCTTAGTAGCTGGATTAGACAATTGGGATATCCCCAGTATAACCTATGAGGAGGTTCCATCAGACTCTGATCGCTACTTGGCAAAGCGCTCACTTACCCAAGGCTCCACATCCCGAGGCCAGTATATTGCAGACGCCCCTGGCTGTAGTAACTCGCCTGCCCAACGCCGGATGCGGCTAACACAGTTTTACGTCTGTCCCCGGGATGGGAGATCAAGGAGCGAGGCCAAGAGATGCGGGGGGGGGGGGGGGGGGGGGGGGTTTCCCCTCAACCATGTGAAACTACTGGAGAGGCCCACTGGCATCCCACCTCCTCCTGGGACTTGATAACAGTAAAAAGGAGCAGTATTGGGGCGGGGTCAAACCCCCTCAATATTTCCTTCACGGAGAGGGGGAGACAGGCCCGAGCTTGGATAAAAGGGAGAACATGGGGATTCCGTTTCTATATGTCAGGGTGGGACAAGGGTTTTACCTTCTCTATCAAGCTCAAGGTTGAAACCCCGACCGCCGTCCAAGTAGGGCCTAACCTGGTACTATCTGAACAGCGGTCACCAACCGCCCATGTCAGGCCGCCTGTTCCCCGAGCCACAACAAATAAGTCCAATGATACAGCTCGGCTCAACCCAGTTACAACCCCCTCGGTCCCCGGCCTAGCAAATATGCCCGAGATACCGAGCACAGGGCAGAGGCTCCTTAATCTGATACAGGGAGCTTTCAGCATTCTCAATGCTTCCAACCCTAACCTGACTGAGTCTTGCTGGTTATGTCTAGTATCAGGCCCTCCCTATTACGAGGGGATTGCCTTCTCAGGGACCTTTAACAATACCACCTCACATAACTCCTGTAGCTGGGGGTCGAACAGTAAACTTACCCTTACAGAAGTCTCTGGGCATGGCACCTGCTTAGGCACAGTTCCTACAAACCGTAAGCATCTGTGCAATCGGACCATAGGAAGCCCCTAAACAACTACCAACTACTATCTGGTCCCCCCCCCCCCCCCCCGTAGGTGGATGGTGGGCCTGCAGTACAGGACTGACCCCATGTGTTTCCTCATCAGTGTTCAACACCACCAAAGACTACTGTGTCCTCGTGCAGCTGGTACCTAGAGTTATCTACCACGAGGCAGGTTCTTTCGAGGCTGAGTTCGACCTACGGCCCCGTAGACAGAGGAGGGAACCGATCTCGCTCACTTTAGCCGTCCTGCTGGGTCTGGGGGTAGCGGCCAGAGTAGGAACAGGGACGACCGCGCTCGTTCAGACTCCTCAGTATATCGAGGGGTTACGGGCAGCTGTAAATGAAGATCTAAAAGCTGTAGAACAATCAATCACAAAATTAGAAGAGTCACTGACCTCTTTATCTGAGGTGGTACTACAGAATAGGCGAGGCTTAGATCTCCTATTCCTCAAAGATGGTGGATTATGTGCTGCACTAAAAGAAGAATGTTGTTTTTACATAAATCACTCTGGTGTAATAAAAAATTCCATGTCCAAACTTAGAGAAAGATTAGAAACAAGACAACGAGATCAGGAAGCGAATCAAGGGTGGTTTGAGAGTTGGTACAGCCGGTCCCCTTGGTTCACCACCCTCATATCCACCCTGATGGGTCCCCTTATTATACTGCTTTTAATTCTCACTTTTGGGCCCTGCCTCTTAAATCGCCTAGTCACCTTCATCAGGGAGAGAATAAGTGCTGTACAGGTACTAATGCTCAGGCAGCACTACCAGTCCCTCCGCCAGGGAGACAGCCTCGGAGAAGGATATATAAAGACAGAAGTTCCATGATTAAAACTTACCAAAAAAGCAAATGGGGGAATGAAAGAATAAAAATGTTTAAAAGTTGCCTGTGTTTAAAAGCTGCCTGTGTTTAAAAGCTGCCTGTTTTATCTCAACTCCCCAAGGTCCCCCGCCAGTGATGGGAACAAAGCCCTTAAAGCTGTCCCAGGAAACAGCCCCGAGCAAAGAGCAAGCAGAGCAAACAGCGCTCTGACAGTTAAGAGAAACAAGATATGAGATTACCAGATGGGACTGTTGACTAAGCTTAAGCCCTGTCATGAAACATGTTATTAACGAGCCCAGTTCCCCTTTAAAATTCCTTTATTCCCCTCTTCCCCCCTCCGTGTGTAACCCCTCCCGAAGTGTGGTTTTTGCCTATATATACTTGTAAGACTTTCTGCTCGGGGCTCGACTCCTCTGCTCCTGCGTGAGTTACGAGTTGAGCCCCAGCGCGCTGGAATAAAGCCTCTTGCTGTTTGCATCAAGTGACGCCTCCTGCGGTTGATTGGGGTTGCCGTCGATCCATAGGACAGAGTAAGGGTCTCCCTCTGGGGGTCTTACACAATGTCCTCTGCTATGACATTGTCAGGAGCCTCTTATCCTGCTTGTGAGCAGAGATACAGGGGGGCAAAGGAAGTGGGGAAATAATGGGCAAGAGCCACGCAGTTACACAACCAGGGGCACGGGTCTTCACACACCTGCTGTTGGGTCTAGGGATGGATGTGGGGACAGGGTAGGGGGTATCATTGGGCATGGGGAGAGGACTGGGGTCCAGGTGTGGTTGGTGAACTCTACACCTCACCCCCTCTGCTTTCTTCCTCCCTCAGGTTTCATTTCCTACATGAACTACATGAATTTCTGGTTCATCCTGGCACCCCAGGCCATCTGGACTTAGGACATGGGAATGGCCCTCCTTCCTTCCTGCTACCACAGCTCCTTGTCATGGGGCTGACGACCCTGTTCTCTGGCCCTCACACCCACCATGACTCTTGTCCTTTTTCAGTCCCTCTGAGTCTCCCCCACTCAAATTACTAATCGGCATTTTAAAATCTGTACTTTTGGCCAGAATATGCTTTGGGCTTAGTACCTTGTCAGTGTTCTGTGGAACTGTCATACCTCCTGAGGTCATCCCTTGGGCCCTGTGGGGTAGAAGGATGGGACTTAAGGGTAGAAGTGAGGGGAGGGAATCATGACAAAGAGACTTGAGGCACAAGGCCAGCCAAGAATTAGGCCAACGAGGATTTTTTTTCCATTGCTTTTCAGAGAGAGAAAGTGGAAGGGAGGTGGAGGGGAGAGAGAGAGAGAGAGAGAGA